AAAACTGGTCACTTACTAGTTGTGACCCATTTAATTTCATAAAACTAAAGCATTTAGAAAGTATTCGTTGAAAATCTTACAAAAATTTTTTTCTGAGAATATTTTTAAATTTAAAAATTATTTAGTTATTTTTTTGTCATTGCGTTATGATAATGTCAAAAAAAAAATTGTGATGGATGTGTTTACAAAGTTTTATTTTTATTCAATGTTTTATATTTTTGATAAAATTTGTAAAAATTGTATAGATTGGTTTTCTTTTATTTAAAACCCCTTTGGTTAATCATGGAAAAAACTGCTTTAAGAATGAAGTTATGCTATATGATAGACAAAGGATTGATGATGAAACCAAAACATCACACAAGATGCACAAGAATCAAAACTTTTGATTTCTTTCTTTTTAGCCTCTGCAACTGTGACTCCTTTCTGGATCTGAGATGGACAAGATAAACAATCATGGCCTCTTTTTGTTATAATTTGAGGACTGTTAAGAAAAACTTTGAAATTTGGTTCTCCTTGGACTTTAATATTTTTAGGCAATCGTCTTGTCATAAAAAAGCGTTTATTTTCCTGAATTTTGATTGGCAATGGCTTTTTCAAAACTCTTAAAGTTACTGATTTGAAATTCAATACATTTCAGTCTTTTCCTGCAATTTTCACTGTTCCCTGGTTACTGTAAACATTATAGTACTCTTTTGGAGAATATATTCTTTCAATTTTTTTCAAATTTTTTTCCAAAGTTCCAAATACACGGTCACAAGGCAAAAATGTATGTCCTTGAACAGGAAACAAAAGTTCAATTGTTTTTACTAATATCAGTGCATGTCTTAACAGCCAGATGTCTAAAGAGCCATTTTTCTCTAAATTTTTATACAACTTTTGTATTCTTTTTTTTTAGGGTGGTTGTTATTTTTAGCAAAAGAAACTTATACAAGTTGAGGAAAGAAACATTTTATAACAATTTAATAACAATTGAATATTTTGATATGCAACTTATTCATGATTTTTATCCGCCCATATAATTAAGAAATTAATTTGCTATGTACGCTGGAACTATGAGAAATTTTGTTAATTTTTCTTTTTTGCGTTTATATATCTTTTGGTTTTTTTTTTTTTTTTTTTTTTTTTTTTTAATTTTAATTCACCTCCTCAAGGCCGAGAAGGCCACTACAGACAAGGAGGCTACTTATTTTGTGGTTATAACCCTCTCTCAACTCTATAACTCCAAAACACGAACCTTGACGAGCAAGGCCGCTGCGCGGAGAAACGAGTTGAGCGCGGTACTACCAGGGACATGGTGGGGATCGAACTCGGAACCACTCGTATATGAAGCAAATGCTCTACCACTACACCACTACCGCATTTAAAAATGACTTTGCTATATTTGACATTTTTTCTCAATACTTATGTATTATGAAAATAAGAAAATAAATTTATTTGTTTACTATTTATTTTTAATTTTATTATTTGAATAAGAAATTTTGTAATTAAAAAAATTTAATAAAAGAATTGCATGTTTTTTTTTATAAATGTATTTACCACATTTGATGCCTGTCTGAAATTGTTTTCTTTATATTGCTAAATTATTTAAAACTAATACAAAATACTAGAGATAATGAACACGATTGTTTGTTTAAAAAAATGTGTTTAAAAACTTAAATTTTAAAAAAAACTTCTAAAAATTTTGTTAAAAAAGTTCAGTAAACTACAAAGCACTAGTCCACAACCTTTTGGAGCAACGCTAATAACAATAGTTCATTAGGAAAAAAACTATTGGATTTAAATGCACAATTTGGAGAATCCAACAAAAATGCAGACTATTTCAATAGGGGTAGTGAAAACAACCAAATATTTTATATTTGAATATTAGAATTAATGACTTTTTTTTTTTTTTTACATGACAAACTTGTTAAAATTTAAAAAAAATTTTTTTTACAAATAAATAGCATTTAGTTTTCTTGATTTCCTGTATTCATCGATAAAAACAGAAAGGTAAGCAAAAACATTTTATGTTCACAAATATAACTAATCTTCAATATAGATATATTTTTTTAAATCCAAGATTTTTTTTTTTTGTTTTTTTTTTTAATTTTTTAATATGCTTCATCCAGGATACACTCTACCTAATAGAACTCAAATTAGAGGAGAAATATTAGGTAGGGTTTACACAGAAGAAATTGAAAAATGTAATGTATTGAATGGGAAAATTGCAGCCATGTCTTCAGGTGGCTGGAGTAATGTACATAATGAAGCTATAGTTTGTATCTCTGTAATTACTGATAAAATTAACATTTTAGTAGAAACAATCAACACTTCTGATCATTCACGTACTGGTGAATATCTTACACAATTAGCAAGAGAAGCAATAGACTTTGTAAGGCATAAATTTGGATGCACAGTAAAAAGCTTTATGACTGACAATGCAGCTAATATGAAATTAATGAGACAAGTATTGTCATCTGAAAGAGATATTATCATAACTTATAGGTGTGCTGCTCATATGCTGAATCTTTTAGCAAATGATCTGAACATTGAAAATGTAAACAAGCATGTTACACAAATAAAAAAATATATAAGAAATAATCATCTTTCTGATTAGATCTGATTAGAAAATGACGCTGGCTTGAATTTCGCAGATAAAGAGTTCAAGAATTTACCAATATTATTCAAATTAAAAGCCAAATCTGTTATAACATAATGGATATTGAAAGTTTATTAAATGTACCAGCTTCTAGTGCTGGAATTGTAAGAATTTTTTTCAACTTTTGGTCTTGTTCATTCTAAGTTAAGAAACCAATGAGGGGGAGGGGGGGTGTAGAAAAAGCAGCAAAGCTTGTATTTGTATATAGAACATTAAACAATGATATATTGAATAATTTTGACGAAATATAACAATAATATTGATAAAGAATATAGTTTACTAAAATAAAATACGTAATATTTTTTTTAATTTAAAAGGATAACTAAATACTAATTTTTTAGTAAAAACCTAATTTAAACCAAAAAAACCATGGTTTTTTTGGTTTTTTAAAAAAACCCATGGTTTTTGGTTTTTTTCAAAAAAAACTGTTTTTTTTTTTTGCAACCCTGCTGCACACGCTTCCCAAGACTTGCATAAACTTTCTAAAACATCATTTTGCTTATGATACTAATTATTGTATGTAAAAAACGCTTAAAAAACTCAATAAGAATCCTAAACATGACCTTGGATGTTTAGTTCATTGGCTAAGATCTTTTTTAAGTTATTTTGTGAAGGATTTTAAAATAAAATTTTAAAAAACTTAACTAAAAGACCTACCACACATGTTTTAAACTGTGAAATCGATAAAATTTGTAGATAATTCTTATACTTTTCATGCAACTGTACATGCTAAAAATCCTGAAACTAGTAATTTAAAAACCAAGAACATCTACTGTTATGCTCTTTGTGTGCAAAGTCAGTATTTTCTTCTAATATTTATATTTATTTTAAAAAAAATTCACTACATAAATTTTTTAAATTTAAATTTTTAAACATTGTTGATACAACCCCCTCTTAAAACTATAGTTCATCAATATAAACTAAAAACATACTAAAGTAAAAAACTCAGTTTTAAAAAAATTGAAATAACTAATTCAATTTTTTTTTTATTATCATTAAGTTAAGTTTCTAAGAAAAATCAATTAATGTAGCATTTGATATATGAATACAACAAAATTGTGTTATTCAAACAGTATTAGTTAGGAATATTATTAAAAATATTGCTATAAAGCAAACAATGATATGGATTTACATGAGCTACTGACACATTAAACAAAATTAATGATCAGTAACAATGATAGAACAAGTAACCAAAATAAGCTAACTTGTATAAATGCACATAATTTGTTTCACATAAAGAACCAAAGTTTTTTTTTGCTTTCAATCCAGTAAGTTTTTCACTCTATCCATTTAAATTTTTTGTCAGAAAATTACTTTTAAAAGTTAGTTAATTAATGTAAAAAATTTCTGATGTTTTTTATTACAAGTTTCCAGTGCAACTTCTTTCCCAATTAGATCCAATTAATTTCCAGCTAGCTTTAACTCTGCACTTAAATTTTTCTTTGACTTTTTGCTCCAGTTAATTCAGTAAACAAATTAGTCTGATATAAAGTAGTCTATAAAGGGTTGGGAGAATTTGTTGGGCAATAATTTTCGTCAATTAATCTAAAAAACGATTGTTACACAATTTCAGAGAAAGTTTTTTGAGTATGAGGTTTGGTAACCACTTTACTGAAACATCCAATCATCTCTAAATAAGTCATTTTCTGTAATCTAGAACTTCATCAATATATTGTGATGATTTACTGAGCCATTATTTAATACAACCAAAAATATGTCATCTGAACAAACTTCCAAACATAATTTAATACCATGATTTTTATCAGCATCAACATGATTTGGAGACTTGATTCTTTTGACAGTTATATATTTCATTGAGAACATTTTCTTGTCAGAAAAAAGAATTCTCAAAGATTGTTTCTTTTGAAAAATTGTAATGAACGTAAATCAAAAAAGAAACTTTTAGCTTTTAAAACATTTTCTTCATTTAAAGACATAAAGAGAATTATTGATTTGTAACAAAAATAAAACAAGCAGCAAAACTAAGCATGTAAAGCACAGTAAAAAAAGGTTAATATTTAACTGAAGAAGGATAACATAAAAATATATATATCATAAAAAATGTTACATTTTTAGGGTTTTAATTTTTATAGTTAAAAGTACGAAAAAAAAATCTATAATTCAAAAAGACAAGAGAAAAACATTTAACATAAATATATATATATATATATATATATATATATATATATATATATATATATATATATATATATATATATATATATATATATATATATATATATATATATATATATTATTTTTACAACACTGTAATGAAGTACTTGACATTTAAAATGTTTTGTGTCACAAAACATTTCAGAAGTAAATGTTGAGTAATTTTAAATAAATCAAACTTAATTACCTTTCTTAGAAGAAGTTCTGGTAGAACTTTCTGGTGAACTCGAAGTTTCTAAATGATTCAATTTTATTATAAACTTTTTAATTTCATTTTTTTTGAGCAAAGAAACACAAAAACTGGATAAAATAACAAATGTAAAAAACAAACTAGCAATAGCAAAATAATAATTGACAATAAAAAATTTATTTAAATAACATTAAATGACATTAACAAACAAAATTTTATTTAAAAAACATTAAATGACATTTTATTAACAAACTGAATTGAATTCAAATGCAAAAATTCAAATGCAAAATTTTCAAAATTCAAAAATTCAAAATTCAAAAATTCAAAAATTCAAAATTCAAAAATTCAAAATTCAAAAATTCAAATGCAAAATTCAAAAATTCAAATGCAAAAATTTTCTAAAACAATATTTTATGTGAAAATGCTACAAAAGTTGTAAAACTTTTATGGTTCAACAAAGTTAATTTCTTTTAAACTTTTTGCTAAAAATAATTAATATTACTTAAATAAGTGGTTTTAAACAATATAGAATTAAAACCTATGAAAAAAGTACTGAGAAAATAAGAAATATGAAACTTAAAGTTCTTAGTAAAAACAGAACTTAATACCTAAAGATAGTAAACTTTTTAGTTAAAAATTACTATTATTACTTAAATAAGTTATGGTTTGGAACATATTGTTCAAAACCATAAACCTTATTTAAGTAATAATTGAAACCTAAGAAAAAGGTGTTAAGAAAATAATAAATAAATAACTAAAATTATAAGTAATAATAAGTCATTAATAAAAACAGAGCTAAATGCCTAAATATAGTTTTATTTAAATGTTATTTTTTAGTTAACAATAATTATTACTTATATTAGTTATGGTTTTGAACATATTGTTCAAAATCATGTTTTTTATCAATTTGCATCCAACATGTCTGCAAGTAACCACTAGATAAGTTGAGACCATAAAACAACAAATGATTTCTAAGAGAAAGAAAACAGTTGACAGAAGACTTAAAATACTGATTTTTCTAAAAGTCAGGAAAAAATAAAAAAAGGAGAGAATTCCAATGCATTGATGCGCAAGTAAAGAATCTAGATTAATAAAAAAAAAAATTCAAAACATGAAGATGTGTTTGAGTTTAAGTAACATCTTTACTTCTAAAGAAAAAAAAAGTAAAAAATTGCAACATTGTTGAATCATGAGTAATGCAAGCTTAAGTTATGGTTGATAGAACAAATAATGGAAGTAAATAACTTGTTTGATTAAAATAGTATTTGTAGAAAAGAGATGCAACGCTACAACTATGGATAAGTGTTTAATTGACAGAGTTTTCAAAATCAACAGCAACTGGGTGAGTTTTCATCTAGATAGTCCTATCACATTAAACTTAGTTATTAAAATCATAAAACAAGATAATCTTTTGTAAAATTTCTTGGTAATTATTTTATAAAAATGAAACTATTGTAACTATAAAGCAAAATAACAATTAACATTGAATTCCAAACTTCAAGGCAAAAAAATTTTTTTTTTTTAAACACTTTTGAATAGTCACAGTAAAAGACTTGAATGAGGAATAAAAAAGATTGAATTTTAGTAGATGGTACAAGAGACACTAGCTACTTAGAGCAGTACATTATATTATAGTATTTATAAAAAAAAGAGTATTTTTATTATAAAAAACAGAACTAAGTACCTGAGGATTTTTTTAAACTTTTTAGTTAACAATAATTATTATTATTTAAATAAGTTTTGAACATATTGTTCAAAACCATAAAACTTATTTAAGTAATAATTGAAACCTAAAAAAATAATAAATAACTAAATGTTCTTAGTAAAAACAGAGATAAATCCCTAAATAAAGTTGTATTTAATACTATTTTCAAATCAAATCTGTTTCAAATATACAAATATAGTTTAATTTAATGCTATTTTTTAATTAAAATTATTTTAAATCAAATACATAAATATAGTTTTATTTAATGGTATATATTTTTTAAAACAAAAACATTGTCTTTGAGCAAAACCTCTTTAACAAGTAGACAACTTGAAAAATATCAATTTAAACTCTTAGTATATAGAAGTGCCACAAACCTTGATTTACGCTTCAAATTCAAAAAAATTTTTTTTATCAACTCGTATCCAATATATCTGTTAGTAACCACTATGTAAGTTGGGGCCATAAAACAACAAATAATTTTTAAGAGAAAGAAAACGGTTTTTATAAGACTTAAAAAACTGATTTTTCTAATAGTAAGGAAAAAATTAAGGTAGGAGAGAATTCGAAAGCATTGATGCGCAAGAAAAGGATCTAGATAAATGAAAAAGAAAAAAAGTTTTAAAACATAAAGAAATGTGTTTCAGTTTAAGCAGTATCTTTACTTCTGAAGAAAAAAAAGCAAAAAATTACAACTGTGTTAAATGGTTGAGTTATGGTTGTTAAGTGGAAATAAATGGAGTAATTTGACCATAATAGTATTTGTAGAAAAGAGATGCAACGCTACAACTATTGGTAAGTGGTTGATTAACAGAGTTTTCAAAATCAAAAGCAATTAGAGTTTTCATCTAGATGCTATACAAATTAAATAAATTATTCACAAAATCCTAATTTATTAAATTTAAATAATAAAACCATAAAACATCATAATCTTTTGTAAAATTTCTTGGTTATTATTTTTTTTAATTGTAACTATGGTAACTATAAAGCAAAATAACAATTATTTTACAAAATATTTTTTTTGAAACACTTATTATTATTTTTTGAAATACTTAGGATGAGAATCTGGAACAATAAAATGGTAAGAAGAATAAAGAGATGCAACCTTAGCAGATGCTAATTTTGCAGCGGATTTGATAATACTTTTCAAGAAAGATCACCAGTATAGGTTAATCCTAGATGAAGAAGGCTAGGTTACTCATCAAGTACATTACTGTTCATAAATATAGGAAGATCTAAATTGTTGTGATAACAATTAGCTTAAAAGTGATCTGAGAATACCTTTGGCTAATCTCAGGTCACAACTCCTGAAGAATTATTTTGGTATGAAGATATGGAAGCAATGGTTACGATTAGAAACTGCAGCAGTACAATAAGAGGAAAACTATGGAGAAGAGTGAGGCTTGACTTGGAATTGTTAAGAGGTAATAAAAGTTTCCATGCCAGCCTAAATTTAAGAAGTTACAAAAAAAAAACACATTTGTCAGCAGGAAAACGAAAGATTTCTACCCAAGGGCCATCACAAAGAAATTCACGAAAAGAAACTCAGTAAGCTTTATGGTAGTTGTAAGAGTTACGATGAAATAAAATGGGAGAACCTGTCGATGGAAAAGAATTAAATAGTAGTTTTAGAGAGATCAAACCATGATCAGAAGCAATTGAGGATTGCTTCTGATTACAGTGTGAACTTTGCAAGAGATAAGACTCAACAGAAAAAAATTTACTTTAAATGATAGATTTAGAGAACTTTATGATAAAAGTGGTTTTTTGTGTGGTCAAGTAGCCAAAACAAAATAATTTTTTCTTTGGCAACTACATAGATGTTAATATGTTTTGAAAATTTTAACATTTCAAAAATGCTCTGAAAAAACTAATCTAGACTTAACAAATAAAAAACTTTAAAATTATCTAAATTTAAACTAAGAAAAGAAATCCTAACAATAGAATAAATAAAAAAACTAAAACACAAAAATTAAAAATAACTCAAAAAACTAAAATTTTAATATTATTTAAGTTTTTTTTATTATGAATTTTTTTTATTATTTTTATCTTTATCTAAATCTTTTATCTTGAATGTTTTTATAATATTATGGGAAACCCTTTTAAATAAAGTAACAACTTACTTTTATTACGATTATATTTATTACAATTAATTTTATAAAAACAAGACCTTCAACAACAACTGTGTTGTTGTTGAAGGTCTATATATATATATTATTATATATATTATTAGTTATATATTTTTAAATAAAATCTACTTAACATTATAAAATTTAAAAAATAAAACTAAAAACTTTTTTTTTATAAACGATCAATAAAAGTAAATCATAAGTTTTGCTAATATAAAAAAATTTGATTAAAAATAAAAATTTGTCAAAATGTTTCATACATACATGGAAACATACATAAACTTGTAAGTTCTTTAAACATCTAAAAAGCCAAATTATAACAAATAAATATATATTTGTATTTTTATGCTAATTCAGCTCCCCAAGGCTATAAAGGCCACTACAGTTGAGAGGCTACATTAATTGTGTTTAAAACCTTATAATCTGTACTCCAAAACATAAACTTTAACAAATAAGGCTGCTGCGCAGAAAAACAAGTTGAAAAACAAGTAAAAAAAACACCATGTTTTTTTTTACTTATTTCAAAATTGTAAGTTTTTATACAAGGTAAAAAAAAAAAAAAAAGATTTTTTAACTTCTTTTTAAATCATTAAATGTTTTGTTTTAACATTTTTTTACATTTAATTGTTGAAACCAATAATAAAAATAAAGTCTTTAAAATGTTAAATAAAGTAAACAATTCTTTTAATAAATCTTTTTATTGCTTTTGGATGAAACATATCTCTTCATAATCAGATTACTTATAACATTTCCTCTAAGATTATTTTTTAAGTAAGGGGCATACATATACACAAGCTTGTGGAGTTGAGCCCGATCCGCAAAGCCGCTGTTTTTTAATGAAGCCGCAAAAATCCAGTGACTCTGGGCTCTCATGTTTTTTCAAAGGAGCAGAATGTATGTTTTTTTACAGTAGAAAAATTTCATTTATTCATTGTTTACCTAATTTTTTGAATGTAAAAATTTATGTTACAAAAAAGAACAATTTGTATGACAACAACAAACATCTGAATTTTCAGGGGACTTGCTCTTGCAAATGACTCAGAAGAAGATCTTCTATTGTTCATAACCTTATAATAAAAAATTAGAAATCAAAAAAATGTAAAAACCAAGTTAAAAAGTTGTCAAGAGAAACACGATTTACAAACTTATAATAAAGTTTTATGCCAAACATACTTTCTTACGCCATAAAATGTTACACCATTCTTTTACCTTAGAACTGCCTCTTTGCAATTTTTTGTGACCTAGTACATGGTTTCTTAGTTACTTAAAAGAAAAAACTTTTTCTGAACTTGTACCAATTTTTAAACCAAATAAACTTTAATAAATAAGTTTTAATAAATAAGTTAACTAAGAATATTTTCGGAAAATTGATCATTATTTTATAATTTACAAAACACTAGAATAACATTGTTAAGTTTTTAATAAAACTTTTTTTTTTGAAGAATAAGGCCATAGGTTACACTATAACCAACTTAATTTAGCTTTATTTAAATAGTTTGCAATCCGAATGTCAAGGAACATTGCATGGAAAAAAAATATTATAGTCTTTATTTTTGAATAATAATTTTTAATGTAAAAAATTTCAATTCCACAAAATAAAATAATTATTATTAATTATTACTAACTAAAACATAATTACTTGTTAATTCGTCTATTTTTCTTATTAGATCAATTCTATCCATGTTCCTTAAAGCTGTTTTCAACTTCTCAAGTGTTGGATTATCATTCATTTGCATCCACGTAGTTAGCATTTTATATGCTTTTTCAAGGGTATTGGGTTTATCATGATCAATTGTGTCAATACAGTTTTCTTCAATATTTAACCAAAGTCCAAGAATTTTCCAATCTACTCTAACACTTTTACTAAAGTTTAACTTAAACTCTTGGCTATAAAGAATGTTTTCATGTTTCTTTGCATATGTATTATTTTGTGCCATTTTGATTTTTCTACAAAAAAGAAATCTATATATATATATATATATATATATATATATATATATATATATATATATATATATATATATACGTATATATAAATATATATATATATATATATACATATATATATATATATATATATATATATATATATATATATATATATATATATATATATATATATATATATATATATATATATATATATATACATATATATATATATATATATATATATATATATATATATATATATATATATATATATATATATATATATATATATATATATATATATATATATATATATATATATGAGTAGTCAGATTTTAATTACTTCTTGTCTTAAAAAAAAGATTGATTCATCTGAGATTGTTCTTGCCAGACTTGTTGCAGTAGATCTTTTTCTAATTTTTAAGTTAGAGAAAAGTATTAATATTAAAAATGGTTGGGCAGCACAAAACTTAAAAATTCCAAGTAATAGACATGGAATAAAAAGTATGCTTTTGGAATATTGCAAAAATGTAAAGTTTAATTTAGCTGATGACTTTGAAAAGTTGAAAAAAGCAGATACTCATTTTTCATTATCTTTAGATGAATGGACATCAAAGAAAAATCATCAGTATATGTGTTTAAACTTGCATTTTTTTAAAGGGCAGGTTCAATCTTTTAGCATCTTAAGGATTAATGGTTCTATGACAGCAGAAAAAGCATTTGAAATGATTATATAAAAAAGCTTAAAGATTTTAATTTAAATTTTAAATAAGATATTCTTAGTTTAGTGACTGATGAAAAAGTTTGATAAAAAAATTAGGAAAACTTTTAAATATTGTTCATCAACAACATTGTTTGAAAGAGCTTGGAAAACAACAATCAATGATTCTTGACACAAAGACTAGATGGAATTCTTTGATAAAAATGCCTTCAAGATATCTAAAGATAAAAAATGTTTTAGATTCAATTCTCAATGATCTGTCTGCCAGTGAACTAATACTCACTAAATCAGAAGTTGATCTCATAAGAGATTTAACTGTTTGTTTAGAAATAATTGAAGTTGGAGTTACTGCTCTTTGTAAAAGAGATGTTGACATATTGACAACTGAAAAGGGTTTAGAATTTACTCTTTCAAAACTAAATGACAAGAAAAGTCTTGTTGGTAAAGATCTTTATACTGCTGTGTTAGAAAGAATCTATGAAAGAAGAAACTCTGGTATTAATGGACTTATTAGATATTTAGACAAATCAAATTTTTATGATAAAATAACTGAAAACTCAATCCTTTATTATCTAAAAAAGAAGGATCTTCCAAAGATAGCAAAATATCTATACAAAAGACTTTTTTTGAAAGATAAATATAAAATAAAAATAGCCCATCCATTGACTCAAATAACAAGAGTGCTGCTCTAGAGTCTAAGGAATTGTTACCAAAGAAAAGGAAATTTAATGAACTTTATGAATATTTATCTGATACTGTTGTGGCTTCACTAACTAAAAATGTGTTATTATTTATAAAAAAAGAACTTGCATTGTTTAAAGCCTCTAATGATCGACCAAAAAGTTTGGAAAAGTTAAATTCAGCCCTTTCTTTTTTGCCACCTTCATCTATGGAAGCTGAAAGATGCTTCAACGTGGCTGGCTTATTCATTACTAAACTTAGAACATCCTTAAGCAATGAAATGACCGATACATTATGTTATTTAAGGCCATATTTTACCAGAAATAAATAGTTTTCATGTTGGTTGCAAATTGAAATTGAAATCCAAGGATCTTGTTTGTGAAAATGGTGTTTGTACAGATCTTGATAATTCTTGCTTGTTAACTAGGATTAAAATAATTCAAGATAATGCTGGGTTGGCAAAAAATTTGTAATTACATTTTTAAAAAATGTCTTCAAAGATTTATATATTTTTCAGTTTTTATGAAGACCAGATGTTGGATAGGAAAGGATAAACGGGAACAAAAGTTGACGAAGACTGCAGTAGGAATACTGGATGCAAACAAGAGAAAGAACAAGCTAAATAGGTTGAGAGAGAAAGAATTAGAGAGACAGAAAAACTTAAAAGAAATCAATGATGTTTTGTTGTTACATGACTCCATGACAGAAGAGATTCAATTCAGCAATGATAAAGTTAAGTCAATCGAGGACTCTGAAATCAGCGAGGATAAAGATTTCCTGGGTAAAGGTCGGAAACGCAGGTGTAGTATTATTTTAATAACATAGTTGTAATTTTCACAAGTTAAAGCTGTTTTAATGAAACGTATATTGTTATAAATAGGTAGAAAAATATTATAAAATGATACCTAGGTACAATTTTGGAGATAAATCTAGCAGTGAATGTTAAAAAGCTCATTGAATGTACTGCTATTTCAATATCAAGGTTCAATGTTGGTGTACGACCTCATTTGGCAATTTTAAGTGAAGTATTTAAAGCTGGAGGTATAGAAATTAATGATACACCACTTTAACGAAGCACATTTCATAGAAAAAAGTTCAAATATGCAGAATTTGAAGGAGACTTTTTTTTAAGTGCTATCAATGCCTCCCTCCCTTAAAAGTATTTGAACTTTAGGAAGGTATGTCGGTAGTTGTTGCTTAAAACAGGCTTTGCGGATAGTCTTTAAGGCTTCTAGGAACCTTGTATCCACAGTCTCAAAACTGCTTAAAAATCATAACGAACAGATTCAGAGGCCTGTTCAGACCAAAAACTTAATCCTTTATTCGTATTGGAATTTTACATAAGTGAAAGAAATTCACATGTATGTTTGATAAGAGCATGCACTTTCAGTGACAATTGAAGACCAAGTTTAACATAAGCATCTTTGTATTCGTTAATGGTTGACTTATATTCAGGTAAAAAACTAAAGCATGAAACTCAAATTTAACAGATTTAAAACATTTAAAGGAATTAACTCTAGAAATAATATGTTCATCTCTTTCCAGTTGGAAGATTTTATTGATTCTTTTAACACATGAATATTTTTTAGTTGTTTAAATATTAGTTAGCAGTTTTGAACAATCTCCACCTTTAAATTAACCATTATGCAGCTTAGACCTTTGAAAACCTAAAACTTGGTTCCACTAGTTTGCCAATAAGGTAGTATCCACTGGTTGATCTGCCTGATGACTTAAATTCTTCAATGAAACTCTATTTACTTTGTGGAAATGCAAACAGGTTTTACGATAATTTTGTAAAACATTTGTAATCTATAGAAGGTTAACAAAATCAATATAAGATGCAGCTGAAAGTTTGGATTTTTTAAAAATCTTTACAGAAGGCTTTGTAAGCATTAGCTAATGAACGTATAACGCATTTTTTCTTTGCTGTTACACCAAAGGCAAGAATGTGGTGATGCTGCACTTTCCAAAAAATATAAATCAATTTCAAATCAAATGCATAAAAATTATTTTAAACTATTTAGCTTTAAAATAGTGATAATTTTTTCAAGATTTGAATGAGATTCAGCCATGTTTCCTTTTTAAAGCCTATAACAAACAATTTGTTTACGCCACCATCTTAGTATTTTTTATTACCTATTCCTTCCTCATGGCTGAACTTTTTTTTTTTAACATTACATTCTGTCACTATTTCTATAACATTTAAATAAACTTTTAAAATTTCTCCTTCAACATCAATGCCCACCTTTAAAATATATTCTTTTGACAATTTATTCTCCTTTATTATTGTCTCAACAAGTCCATTAATGTTTTTACATAAACCAACTGTCTGCAATCTTTTTCAAAAATCGTTTCTTTGATATTAAAATTATTATTTAAAAACCTATTTTCTTCACTTAACTTTTTGTCTAACATTGTTTTCAAATTTTTTTCTTCCTCTCCAGCTTCTAAACATACAAAGAACTTTGGCTCCCATTGTATTAATAAGTCTACAAGTGTTTATAAATTTGCTAATTTCCAAAATAAGGATTTTTTCAACTGGAAAAAGCGCTTTCGAAGAGCTTTTCATTTGTTCAACGACAATGGCTTTAACTGCAACCTTGATTTTATCACTCTCCTCCTCAATTTTTCTTTTCAACTTCGGCACCTCATCTTAATATCAAAAGAAATTTTCTAGCAATTTACTTCCGTTCTATTACGTTTCAGTTTTTATATTTCAAATATTTTAATTTCTTCATTTCAGATTTAAATTATTAAATCAAAAATAAAAGCCCTTTGTCAAGTTCTTCTGGTAACTTTTTTTCTTCTTTGTGAGAGTGCAAGGGTGGGGTAATTCACTTCCCATAAAAACCCTACAATTTTTAAATACTTTTATTTTTCCAGGTGATGATGACTTTACTCTTCCCAACTTGATTCTTCTCTATTTTAAGATGTTGATCTTGAAGTAATTGTAGTTTGTGCAATTTTACAAATGTCACAAACACTGAACGATTGGTTTCTGGTAAGTATACTTTGACTTTTGAGAGCTTTAAATGTTAAATCTCCAATAAAATGTTTTTATCTCCTTTTTTAAGTCTTTCTAATGCTTTTCTACTTTAATACAAATCTCCTTTGGTACTAATGTACTTTAGTACATTATGAAAGTTTTCATTTTTCAAATCAAATGATTTTAAAAAGAATTTTTGTATTCTTTTCAATGTCACACTTCCTTCTTTAACTTTTATCATTCTTGATCCTTTTAAAAAACAAATTAGGCAGACTAAAGCTCTATAATCTTTTTGAGAATTTTTAATGTTTGGCATTTTAAAACAATATGAGCAATACTAATCAATTTTTAATTTTTTTTATTAACTATTGCAGCAGATAAAAAAATTCATAGAATCTATTATCTGTATTATTATTATCTAAGATATTAATATTTTTTTGCAGTATACCAAAAGAAAGTATACAAAACAGAGAAATGTTGTTTATACATTTAACTTGTAATGGAAACGCTTTTTTACCGTAATTAACGAATTGTTTAAAATTTTCCATAAAAGTAGAGCCCTAAAATCCAAATGTTTTTTAGGAAAAGAAGCAATGATAGCACTTAAAAAAAAATTTACCATTATGA